ACGCCCGCGGCAGATGCGTCCAGGCAGCGAGCAGGCAGCATTGCAGGGGCTGCAGCGGAGCAGGCAGCGGCGGCGGCCAGGCAGCAGAGGCAGCGCCAGCAGCAGGCAGGCGGCAGCGGCAGCAGGGGCAGCGCCCGCAGCAGCAGGCAGGCGGCATCGGCAGCAGAGGCGGCGGCGGGCATCTGGAGCAGAGCAGGCGCCAGGCGGGCGAGCGCCTCACCAGGGTCCACTTGAGGCACCGGCAGTTCCGCTCCCACCGCCGTCAGCGCCCTCACCGGCACCGGCTCTGCAGCAGCGGGCGGGGGCGAGAGGGCAGGGTGGCCTGAGTTTCGCGGCGGAGGGCAGGTTTCTGGGATACGTGGAGTGCCGGGAAGGGAGAAAGGAGGCGTGTGCGTGTGTGTGTGGTGGGGGGGGCTGCGGAGAGGGGGCTGAGGGTGGCTGGCTGGCCGCGGCACGCAGGCCGCCTGCTGCTGCTGGCAGTGGGCGAGGCGATGAGCGCAGTCGCCGTCCGTAAGGGGGGTGTAGAACGGAATTCAATGCATTGATCTGGGAATTGTCGAATTTCCAGGCGGCGGGGAGCTAGCAGGGGCAACAGGAAAGCCGGCGGCGGCGGCGGGCGCACCTGCGACCGGCGCGCTAAAGTCAAACGCGGGGTCCTGGGCGGTGGCTGCGTCTGCAGAGGGCGGCAAGGGAGGCGGCGCCGGCGAGCGTGTGTGGTGTGCTGGTCAGACCGGATTGTGCGGCATGCATGGGTGCATGCATGCCCAGGCGGCTGAGGTGGCGGTGGCGGTGGTCAAGGCTGGCGGCAGCAAAAGCAGCGGCACCACAAGCAGCGGCGGCAGCGCAAGCAGCAGCATCCCCCTCGCGTGCGACAGGCCACGGCGGCCGCCCCACCTTCCACCAGGCTCCTGCGCTCCGCCGCCGCCGCCGCCATCTGGAGCGGATCGGGCATCACGCCGCCGCCCGCAGTCAGCAGGTCGCCCTTGAGCTTGCGCCCGCCCCTCCACCGCCCCAGGCCGCCCGCCGCCAGTGACATCAGCCGCCGGCCCAGCCCCGCCGCTTGCAGCTGCGTCTCGGCCAGGCCTGGCGCCGGCGCTGGCGCCGGCGCCGTGGATGGCGCCGCCGGCACGGTTTCGACAAACGTTGGCACGCCGCGGGCGGGCGGAGAGGGCGGTGCGACCACAATCCCCACGATCAGCTGGGAGGGTGGGGAGGGCGGCAGCGGGCCGACAAGCGCCGCGGGCGCCGGGGCGGGTGCGCCAGCGTCGGGCGCGGCCGCAGGGGCCCCCGGCGCCGCGTCCGGCGCCGCCGGCAGCTCATCCACAAAACCCGGGACAGCGGGGGTGGGCGG